ATGAAATTTCACATAAGTAGCTTTTTGGAATGTTGAGGGACTGATTGAATGGATTAAAGGGAAATTGTATCTTTCAATAAAATAGAAAGTATACTCATTGTCCCGAAATTAAAGATTGCTAATGTACCATATCAGAGTGACACCTGGGAACGTTCATGGTCTGAGAATGTGATTTTTGTTTCAGCAGACAAATAACTGTGTTGAGAAAGGAGTATTTTTCTGTTTGGTTTCATGGGCTGAATGCCTTCTTTTTGTGCTTCTGTACATTGTGAGCTATGAATTCACAAGCTGTGCATTGAGGAGTTTGCCCATTTTTCTTATGACCATACAAGAATAGGACTGTAAACATTGGCATTTCTGATAGGTATATTTACCAAACTGGAACTCAGCCCCAAACCATTTTGCCTTCTCTATTTCTTCACCACCTTTCCTCATGTACCATCGGAGGCCTTTTAAATAGGACTTTGGAGTGGGAGGAAAGAGTCAGGAGAAAGGCAACCCTGGAGAGAAGGGAGTGATGAAGTACTGACAGCCAAGAAGAGGATTGGGAGGTGGGTAGTGCAGGGATCGGAGCGATGTGACTGGTAGAGTTGGGAAACAATCAGGAGGAGTGCAGGCAGTGTTCAGCGTCAGTCTGTGCAATTTTAATGTGGAGTCGAGGTGGAAACCCACTATATTTCCTGCTGTACATTCACATAAGTAATTTTTATTAAACTTACCCCTTCATTGGTCATCTGCAGACATTTCTTTGAGGGAAAAGGACCACATTTACTTGAACAGAGTTCTCTTAAAACTGGCTGTTTTCAGGACAGCCCATTTTTACAAACACTTCGGGTATTTATATGTGCAAAGTGACCTGCAGCTGTTTTAGGTGAAGGCTCAATCTGCTACTTGTCTTTACCAACAAAGCTGAAGAGTAGTTTATGTGTGCAATGAGTGTGTTCATGTTGTTTGCGGTGTTGGATGCTTTGGTCCCATTTGTGCCTGAAAATAGGGCCCATATATTTCTATTTTCACATGCTAATTGACATTGCAATTAAATAGCTAACACAAAAATCTGTTTGAATCCGTAATGTTTTGACTTAAGAATTAGTTTTCTACAATGTTAACAAATAATAGATTACCCTATATTCTCATAACTATGAATACTAAATTGTGTTTTTAATGGGCAATCAATGGCAAGCATTTCAAAGCGATATATAAAATTTAACATTTTCTCATAAATTATTTCTTGGAAAACACAGCAGTTGACAAGTAATCAGAGATAGTAAGAACTGCCGATGCTGGAGTCAGAGATAACACAGTGTGGAGCTGGAGGAACACAGTAGGCCAGGCAGCATCAGATTAGCAGGAAAGCTGATGTTTCGGGTCGGGACCCTTCTTCAGAAATAGGGGAGGGGGAAGGGAGCTCAGAAATAAATAGAGAGAGGAGGGTGTGGCTGGGGAAGGTAGGTGGGATGGCGATAGGTGAGTGCAGGTAGGCAGTGGTGGGGATTGGTCAGTGAGGTAGGAGGAGCGGATAGGTAGGAGAGAAGACAGACAGGTCAAGGAGATGGGGAAGAGAGGGAAGGTTAGTCATGGGATGAGGCCGGGGCTGGGGAGATTTTGAAACTAGTAAAGTCCAAATTGAAACCATTGGGTTGTAGGCTCCCAAGGCAGAATGTGAGGTGCTGCTCCTCCAGTTTCCGGGTGATGTCATAGTGATACTGGAGGAGGCCCAGGATGGACATATTGTACAGGGAGGGGGCGTTGAAGTGGTTCACGACCGGAAGGTGGTGTTGTTTGTCGCGAACCGAGCGCAGGCGCTCTACAAAGCGGTCTCCAAGCCTCCGCTTGGTCTTACCGATGTAGAGGAGGCCACATCGGGAGCAACGGATGAAATAGACCACATTGACAGATGTGCAGGTGAACCTCTGTCTGATGTGAAAGGTTTGTTTGGTGCCTTGAATGGAGGTGAGGGGGGAGGTGTAGGGGCAGGTGTAGCACTTCCTGTGGTTGCAGGGAAAGGTGCCAGGGGTGGTAGGGCTACGGGGGAATGTGGAGTAGATGAGGGACTCATGGAGAGAGCGGTCCCTACGAAAGGCAGATAGGGGTGGGTAGGGAAATACATTGGCTGTGTTGTCGGATTATAGGTGGCGGAAGTGGCGGAGAATAATACGTTGGATACGGAGGTTAGTAGGGTGATATGTGAGGACAAGGTGGATTCTGACTTTGTTTCTGTTGCAGGGAGGGGATGTGAGAGCAGAGGTGTGGGAAACGCAAGAGATGCGGTCAAGAGCATTTTCGACCACAGAAGTGGGGGGGCGTTGTGGTCCTTGAAATGAGAGGACATCTGGGATATTTGGGAGTGGAACACCCCATCTTGGGAGCAGACGCGGTGGAGGCGAAGGAATTGGGAGTAGGGGATCGCGTTCTTGCAGGAAGGAGCATGAGACGAGGTGTAGTTAAGTAACTGTGGGAGTCGGTGGGCTTGAAATAGATGTCGGTTTTGAGGCGGTCACCAGAGATGGAGACAGAGAGGTCCAGGAAGGAGAGAGAGGTTTTAGAGATGGTCCAGGTGAACTTGAGGTTGGGGTGAAAGGTGTTTGTAAAGTTGATCAACTGTTCAAGCTTCTCGTAGGAGACCGAGGCAGCGCCGATACAGTCATCGTTGTAGCGGAGGAAGAGGTGGGGGATGGGGCCAGTGTGGCAGCAGAAGAGAGACTTTCCACATATCCTCTGAAGAGGGAGGCATAGCTTGGGCCCATGCGGGTGCCCATGGCCACCCCCTTCGTCTATAGGAAGTGGGAGGAGTTAAAGGACTTGCTGTTAAGGGTAAGGACGAGTTCATTGATTTGTGGGCGGAGGGGAATGAAGGTGACTCCTTTACTGAGGGCTGACCATTCGTCCTCAGTGAGGGGGAGGTCCGGGATGGGGGGATGGTGAAGACCTGGCAGGACTTGGGGCTTGAGGCTGGGATTGGTCGTAGAGCTGGTGGCTGGCTTGGAGCTGGGTGTGGATGCTGCGTCAGTGAAATCGTCAGCAACGTTTGCAGTGGGTGGGGCGATGTCAGTGGTGGGTGGGGAGATGTCCGCAGTGGGTGAGGCGATGCCCGCGGTGGGTGTACGAGCTGATCTCAGCCAAGCCCACATTGGGCAAAATTGTCCTTGATGCCTCTAGGAATGGGGGTGTAACTTTTCCAAAGTTCCCCTCCCCTTTTTCAAATTATGACTCATGAGCCTTTGATGGATGTCTATGCACATAGATATTTTAATATTATAAAATGCTATTTAATGGACTACTAAGACCCACACAGGAATAATAGTTACTTGGTGAGAGGCCATTCAGCCCTCATTTTTTTTGTGCTGGAAAGGAAAAAGAGAACATTTGAAAGAAACCAAACAAAACCAATTCCACGTACATTTGTGCAGGAGAATTATTTTCCCCCATTTCTCTATTATAATCACTGTCATATGATCAAATTCTCAAATCTCAATTCAAGTAAATATTAAGATTTGAAAGAGGAAGGGCATTTTAAAATATACTGTATGGACCGCATTAAACTGATTTAACCAACTGTTAGACTTGAAGACTGCAAATCGATTTCAATCAACAGAAATAAAGATGCCATCAGTTTTGAGTGTACAACACTACAGTGTGTTAACATAAGGATTGTATTGAAGTGAACTCAAGATGTCTTCGCTTAGTAGGCATGATTTCACTTTTCAATTCCTTATTCCTAACATGATTCTGTCTCTGATTAGCTAATTCTTTAATTGCGCAAATTCACAGGATTCTGCAAGCTGAGTTAATGGTGTGTATTGATCAATGAACTCTTTCTGGCCTAATATTGTCCCATTCATGTGCAACGTTCACTTGGGTCTGAAAGTGTGCTTTTGGAGCTTTTCAAATTTCGGCCTTGTTTTTTCTACTGTTCCTGAGAGGTTTAATGTGGAATACATTTGGATACAGTCTCTTCCCAGCACTGATAAAAGTTTTGTGACTTTGCTTGTTCTGGTTTTCTCAACAAGTCCACAGCAAATGCAAATTTCTACATTATTCATGGCAAATTTCCTAGTTTTGCTTTTTATCCCTAGTAGTTTGTGCAGGAGTTAGAATGGGGAAAGCCACAACAGTGCCCTTCAGTGCCAGCTCACAGATCTGTAGCTATGCTTTTTGAGATTCTCATCTCAGAGCCTCTTCTGATACCATATCTCGAGTGTATGACACTGCAGTGTGTTAACACACCATCCTGCAGGTTTTGTTTTTGTTGATTTGGATAAGGATCATTAAAATGTTCCTTCTTACAGATCAGTGCCACCTCTGAGGTATAGTGACTGTTTTGCAATAGACCCTGTGTGTGATCTTACATGTTACTTTGTTGTTTTGAATGGCTTTGAGGTTCTTCTAGACTTTGTTGAGGTTTCACATGTACTTTATACCAAAATTGCTGAGTTACAAAAGTTTTTGAATTTATGCTTCACTTGTGATGACTGAGCTTATCAATCATTCAGATACTCTCAAATACTTCGAATGTGTACTTGACACAGGAGTTGCCCTGAGAGAGCCCTTCCTCAGTATTGCCTTATAAACTGCAGTTACATATTTGCACACACTGTATCAATGTGATATTGGTGGTTACAAGGCTTTGGAGCAGGTTCCAATCTTCATTCTGGTTAAGCTGCTGAACTCCAATTCTATTTTGTATAATTTGTTCACTCTTAAGATAACTTCACTGAGGAGGATGTGTAAAAGGAGAATTTAGCCTTCTTTGCTGAGATAGATTTGACCCAAATGCTAATGGGGAAGAGACTATTCCTCCTAATGAAAACAAAATATTGTGGTTCTTGGAAATCTGCAATAATCTGAAATCTTGACATGTTAACTGTTTCTCTCTCCACAGGTGCTGCCAGACCTGCTGGGTTTCTCTAGCACTTTTTCTGTATTTATTGAGTATTCCTCCCAGCATTGCTGAATTTGAGCTATCTTGGTCTGTAATGATTGTTGTTTTTGATTCCTAGAGCTACCACTGTGACTTCAAGAGCAGCTTTAGCGCAGTTGCATGCTGTTGGCTTTCCCGAGATTCTAGATGATAACAATGAGCTGGCAACTGTGATTGACCCTGACGACCTTTCAAACTTTAATCTGCAGCAGGAAAAAGCAGACCATCTTCAGAGCAATGAGATAATTCTGCAATTTCTGGCTTTCAGCAGGTAAAATAAGGAACAATGCAAAGTCTAGACTCTTCAGTAACTGTTATCTTAAATAGCTGACAGGTGTTGACTTAGAAAAATCTTACAGCTGCCAGGCATGAAATCAGACACATTGTTCAGAATTTCTGCAAAACCTTTAGGGGCAAGCATCTCTTCACGAGGTCAAAGGGAAAGATTGAGACTGACAGGAAGACAGTATGTGTTTTTCTCCTTAAAATATCATGGGACCGTTAATATTCCTTTAGGTTTCATACAAATTATGAGTAACAAACGGGAAATCTAATTCATGCAGACCACTGTTATGTAGAATTACAGAGCATGTATGACACAGAAACTGATCATTTGTCCTGACTGGTCTCTGTTTTCTGCTCCTCATTATCTTTCTCTTGACTAAACCCTATCACAGAACCTTTTATTCCTTTCTGTCTCATGTACTCCTGGCATGGTAGCACAGTGGTTAGCACTGCTGCCTCACAGTGCCAGGGGCCCAGGTTCGATTTCATCCTCAGGCAACTGTCTCTGTGGAGTTTGCACATTCTCCCTGTGTCTGCATGAGTTTCTGCCGGAGGTAGGAATGGAGCTGATAAATTTTAAGACTTCACAAGATAAATCCAATGTACGACAGGCATCGAGGATAAATCAACCTTTGAAGCCTCTAAAATGGGGTTGACTGATTGGACAAGATACTTATGAGTATGCATGCGAATTCTGTTTTTAAACATTTCCATGTTCTATTAACTCTGTTGTTGACATCTGGTACTTGGAGCAATTTTTATAATGAAGTTTATTTACTGTGACTTGCATTGATTGTGTTGCATTGACTGACCAACATGGAGTGCTGCATTTTTGGGTGTTTAGCCTTCTGTGTGAGATCTTAAACAAACATCTGTTCCCTTCAGGTGGATATAAAAGGTATCGCAGCACTATTTGAAGAAGTGTAATGAGGCCTCCCAGAGTCCTGGACAACATTTATCCCTCTATCAGCACTTCAAACATTGATCTGGTCATTGATTGCACTGTTATTTGTGAGAACTTGCTGTGTGTAGATTGGCTGCTGTATGTCCTAGATTATGTCAGTGACTACATTTCAAAATTAATTAATTGGCTGGAGAATGCTTTGGGATGTCCTGGAGCTGTTACGTTATGTAAATCCAAAATATCTTTTTGTTTCCGAATTGGTATAATTCTCTGTCTAATTTCCATCAAAGTACTTGTATACTCCAGAACCACAAAGGCTATTGACGTTCAGTCTACTGATTTTAGCAGTATATTGAATTAAAGGGGTGTCATTCCAAGCCTGATGGAGAATAGAGTATATATCAGGTCACTCTTAAGAGCCTTTGCTGTTTATATTGACTTGCAGCTGACCACTAACAGTATTCCGTGCTGCTCAATTAACGGTGCTGTGATAATGCTAGTGACCAAACATTTCACTGGCAGCTGATCACTGCACAATAATCCTTACCAAAATTTTCTTTTGAGGAAAACATCAGGAGCTGCTGAATGTTTCATGGTTAAATTCACTTTTTTTTTTAATACCTCGCCAAAAATCCTCAGTAAGTGGCCCTGTTTTTTAGCTGAAATGAACCACGTTATTTTGTAGTGATTTAGAATTCCAGTTTAAAATTCAGGTAAGTGTATTTTAATAATCTTAAGCAAAGCCAGAAATATTGCCATTTGGGCCTAGTAAAATATTTCATGCCTGAGAACATATGAAAGTTGTTGACCATAGGAGCTGGGCAATGTCTTGTGCCAGCAGATGCCAACCTTCAGCTCTTTGCTGGATATCCACACTTAGTGACTGTTTAGCATAGATTAAACATACACCAATTTACTAGTTTAGATGGTTACAAAGCTGCCTATGCTGTTTAAAGCAGAGAATCGATGCTGATCAATTCCTGACCAGTGGGGAATCTAGAACAAGTAAGCATTGTTTAAAAATAGGGTAGCTCACATTTAACACAGAGCTTAGAAGGAGCTGCTTTTCTCACGGTGTAACTAGTATTTGAAATTCTTTTCCCAGAGACACGAGTGCAGGCCAGAATAGAATATATTGCTTACACATTTTTGATTAGCCAAGGAGTTGAGGGTTAAGGGGGACAGATGGGAAAGTGGAGCTAAGGTAACAATCCGATCAGCCATGATCTTATTGACTAGTTCACTCATGCCTTTTGGATAGGAAATCTGCCAACCCTACCTGGTCTCGCCCATGTGAGAGTCCAGACCCATAGCAATGTAGTTGACTCTTAGTATTCGCTGAAATGGCCTACCAAGCCACTCATTTCAAGCCTAACAGAGTCATAGAGTCGAACAGACCCTTCTGTCCAACTTGTCCATGCCAACCAGATGTCCTCAATTAATTTAGCCCCATTTTCCAGTATTTGGCCCATATCCCTCTAAATCCTTCCTATTCGTGTATCCATCCTGATGTCTTTTAAATGTTGTAATTGTACCAGCCACCACCACTTCCTCTGGCAGCTCATTCTATACACACACCACCCTCTGCGCGAAAAAGTTGCCCTTTAGATCCCTTTGAAATCTTTCCCCCCTCACCTTAAACCTATGCCCCTTAGTTTTGGATCCCCTTACCCTGGGGAAAAGACCTTGGCTAATCATGCTATCCATGCCCCTCGTTATTTTATAAATTATTATAAGGTGACCCTTCAGCCTTCGTTGCTCCAGGAAAAATAACTCCAGTCTGTTCAGCCTCTCCTTACAGCTTAAACCTTCCAACATGGGAAACATCCCTGTAAATCTTTTCTGAACCCTTTCAAGTATCACAGCATCCTTCCTATAGCAGGGAGAATTGAATGCAGTATTCCAAAAGTGGCCCAACCAATGGCTGTACAGCTGCAATATGACCTCCCAACTCCTATACTCGATGCATTGACCAATAAAGGTAAGTATACTAAACTTCATTTTCTGAAGAAGGGTTTAGGCCCGAAACGTCAGCTTTCCCGCTCCTCTGATGCTGCTTGGCCTGCTGTGTTCATCCAGCTCTGCCCCTTGTTATCTCAAGCATACTAAGCGCCTTCTTCACCACCCTGTCTATCTGCAACTCCATTTTCAAGGAACTATGAACCTGCACCCCAAGGTCTCTTTGCTCAGCAACAAACCCCAGGACCTTACCATTAAGTGTATAAGCCCTGCCCTAGTTTGCCTTACCAAAATGCAGCACTTCACATTTATCTAAATTAAACCCCCCCTTCCACTCCTTGGCCCATTTGCCCACCTGATCAAGGTCCTATGAGGGATGGGTGATAAATGCTGGCTCAGCCAGTGATGCCGACGTTCCATGAATTAATAAAAATAAAAGCAGACCTGAAGGGCTGCTTCTACTATTTCATTTGTTCTTAGATTTGAGAATAACACATTTGGAACTTATAATTACAGGACTCTGGAGAAAATAAATTGAAGGAGCACGGAGCTGAGTAATTGTGAGATTCAGGTTGTAACATTTCAATTTAATGTTCTTGTAGGAACAAGTGACACAAATGGTTCAATTTGGACTGTCCCTGCAAAGTTAAATCTATGATACATGAAGGAGACTGGAAACTGAGAGAAGTAGAAGGTCAATTTAAACCTTAAAGCATCGTCTGGTAGGATTTGTAAACACACTTCAGGGGTTTGTTATCATTGCTGATAAGCAGCACTATTGCATTTGTCAGTGCAGCTGACCTTAACAAAAAGGCCAGAGAGAGAGAGAGAGTGGAAAGATAATGCACAGCATGAATGATTTTGAATGTTAAATAACCTAGAGCTATACCAGTATATTGAGTTGTGGATTCACCACAAGGATTGCTGACAGATGGAGAGGAATTACTGTGCTTGTAATATGCATCAACATCATAAATGTGCTGACGAATATTTCTTTTATTCTGTATTTATCATAAAATCCCTGGCACAAAGGAAGATGATTGTGGTTGTTCAAAGTCACTTATCTCAGCCCCAGAACATCCCTGCAGGAATTCTTCAGGCTATTGAATTAGGCCCATTCTAAGGTCAGAAGTGGAATGCTCAATTATGATTGCACAATATTCAGCACCATTCATGATTCCTCAGATACTTAACAGTCTGTGCTCACATTTAAGAAGATCTGGATAATGTTCAGGTTTTGACTGATAACTGGCAAGTAACATTTAAGTATCGGGCAACGTCCATCTCCAACAAGGCAGAATCTTAACATCTCTTGACATTCAAAGCACTGAAATCCCCACTAACAACATTGTGGGTGTTACCATTGATCTGATACTGAACTGTACTTGCCATACAAATACAGTGGAAAGCTAGAGGCTAGGAATTCTGCAGTGGGTAATTCTTCTCCATGAATTCCCAAAACCTGTCACCATCTACAAGGCACAAGTTAGGAGTATGATGAAAAACTCCCCACTAAATTGGATGAATGCAACTCCACAGCATCATCCTGAACATAGCAGCCCACTTGAGTGGCACAATCCGCAATCTTAAAAAACAATTAGTCCTTCCACCTTCAGTGCACACTGGTTACCATGTGTACCATCTACAAGATGCATTGCAGTAACTCATCAAGTCTTTTTTAACAGCACCTTCCAAATCCATGACATCTTCTACCTTAAAGAACAAGGGCAGCAGATACATTGGAGCAACATCAATTCCTAACTTATCTCTGAGTCACATGCCATGTTCACTGCTGCTAGGAGATAAGAGAATGGGCAGAAAATGGAATCTCCTAGTCAGCTATTGAAATTTTATTTTTGAATCTGCTGTGAAGAATAGTAGGAAGCTTTCAACAGAGATGTTGATTAAAGAGGCATGTTGAGACTTGTAACAGTCAGTGAGTAGGGTTGTATTTAATGGATTGACAGTGGCTCTTACCTACTGACTGGAGATAATGTGGATGCGCTTAGGGAAAACTCATCAAGTTATGTGCCACTCAGACACTTAGCTGGACTGTGGTGTGCCTTTTCTGGGATCCCAGGGTGGCAGTGCAACCCACCAACAGTTGCTGGCCAAACAGAATCTAGCAGCTCTATTGAATGGCAGTGCACTGATGAGGAGAGGACTGCAGTCAGCAATACACCCATGTGAGGTCTCAGATGGTGCCTAGATTATGGGCCAGCATGAAAAATGGCAGATGGAGTTCAATCTGGATAAATGTGAGGTATTGCATTTTGTTACAACAAACAAGAGTAGGGTTTATACAATTAATGGTAGGGCCTTGGGTGATGTTGTAGAACAGAGGGCCCTAAGGGTGAAGGTACATAATTCTTTGAAGTTTGCGTCACATATAGACAGATTGGTTAAAAAGGCGTTTGGCATGCTTGCCTTCATTGCTCAGTCCTTTGAATATAGGAGCTGGGATGTCATGTTGAGGTTGTATGGGACATTGGTGAGGCCTCTTCTGGAATACTGTGTCCAGTTCTGGTCGCTCAGTTATAGGAAGGGTATTATCAAGCTAGAGAGGGTTCAGAAGAGATTTACCAGGATGTTGCCGGGTATGGAAGGTTTGAATTATCAAGGAAGGCTGGATAGGCTGGGACTTTTTTCACTGGAGTGTAGGAGGTTGAGAGGTGACCTATTAGAAGTTTATAATATAATAGGTATAGAAAGAGTTGGTGGTAGTTTTCTCTTCCCTAAGATGGGGAATTTCAAGACTAGAGGGCACATTTTTAAGCTGAGAGGAGAGAGATTTAAGAAAGACATAAGAGGCAAATTTTTTACATAAAGGGTGGTTCATGTGTGGAATGAACTTCCTGAGGAAATGGTGGATGTGGGTACAATTACAGCCCTCTGGATGGATACGTGATTAGGAAAGGTTCGGAGGGATATGGGCCAGGAGCAGGCAGATGCGACTAGTTTAGTTTGGGATTATGTTTGGCATGGACTGGTTGGACCGAAGGGACTGTATGACTCTATGACTCTATGTGAGTGATAGTGGCAAGGGTTTGGAGGGTGGGGATGGGCAGAAGGGAACATGACTTCACATTCTGTTACCGGATCCCTTTGTTAGGCACCGAATGACCCCCTGCATGGGTTTGCTTGCCATGTTTCCAGCATGGTGCCTTCCCTACCTGCCATTGGGTCATTGCAAGTAGTCATTCGGTCATTGCGAGTAGTCATTGGATTGGGCCCTTAATTGGTCATTACTTGCTCACGTAAGGGCCACAAATGGTGGCAGGGTAGGAAGGGGCCATTCTATCACGGATTTAATTTGGGTGGAGGCTGAGGTCCCCACCATCTCCCACCCACCCAACTAAATACTCCCCTGCTACCAAGCCGGATGTGGAAGAGTGCAGTGAATTCTAGTCATAGGCACTGGAGCAAAGATAATGACGACAATCGTCAATTTTTAGAGACGTCTTTGTGTTCTTTACTTAAAGTGCTTAAAACTGGATATAGAGACTTTTTTTTTCCCAACAAATTATATACATGGTACTGAGCCTAGATGTCTTCTCAGAGACATGGACCCAAAGCCCAAATGGCTTCTTTCATTGAGACACTAAATCCCCAACCCTGAGCTCTAACTCTAAAATATCAAGATTCACAGCAAAGGCGAGATACCAGAAGATTAACTCTGCTCAATATGCATCTGCATAAAAAAGTAGCATTCCGTTAATATTTTATGAATCTACAATTAGGAATGAAAACTCGTTCTGCGTTACAACGAATTGATCACATGCAATTTGTGTCAATAATTAACATGGCTGTCTGTGTTAAATTGACAATAATGTATTCTCCTACAAAGATCTGTTTGCTTGTAATTCAGCAGTATTAAGTGAACAGATTGATCTAATAACTCAGCCCAGTAATCAACATCGAAAGCTCAAGTGCTTAAATGAATCATAAATCATCTTAAACACTGGTTTCTATGTTCAACTGTTTAAATGTTTCTATACTTTATTGAAAAAGGTATGTCAGATTTCACTCTGCATGAAGAACAGATACGCCAGCCTTAGTTCAGGGTTACTGTTCTCACCTCTGAGGTGAATTAAGTTCAGCGTGCAGTCAAGGCTGGCTCTCCAGTGCTCTCTGAGGGCCTGCTTGACTTTCCTAAGGTGTGTTTCAGGAGTGAAATTAATCCAAGACTGACTATCAGTGATGTGAAAGGTCCTTGGCACTTTGTAATGAAGAGCTGGAGATTTTCTGAGTGTCCTGGAAAACATCCCAACCAACACCACCAAAAGCTGAGTCATTGGTCATTAGTTTCATTTCTGTTTGTGGCATTTTGTTGTGCGCAAGTAATTGCCTCCTGTATTTCGCTATTTGATAACAGTTACTATGCTTCAAAAGCATGATCTTCATTGTAGACTATTTTGGGATGTCCTGAAGTCATTAAAAGAGCAATATAAATGTAATTTTATTTTCATCCTTAATTTAACATTGGAGTATTCCACAGAAGCTGAAGGAATAGAATTAATTTTAAATATCTATCAAGTCTGTTTTGTAATGATTAGATACTGAGAGCTGACTGCTCCAGAAGTATACTGAAGACAAAAATAAGTCAAAATGTAAAGGGAATAACAAAACAACAACTGTTAGCAACTGAAAGGGTTACCGTCTCAGTAGAAACCTCAAACCAGAGACTTTTCGCTTCTAAGTGGAGGAATGAATTGGGTCTTGAAAGACTAAACTTTGTTCTTTCCAGCAAGGAAAACTTTTTTTCCTGAGTTTTCCTAATCCTTGTATTTTTTTTCTCTGAGGCTTTATTGCCATATATTATAGCACTTTTCCTAATGGATTAAATGCTACAATGCATTAAAAATAGTGAACAATTTGTTGGCGCACTCTTCTGTTATGATTTGGAATGTAATTTCAATGTCCGAATATCCTGTGTTTTGAAAAAAATCTTGCCTTGCTGTATTTCTTTTAACTTTCATCAGTATGTGCTCTACTTCATTGATAAACAGGTCACCTTCTTTGAAATGGAAATGAGACCCCATTGTCTGAAATAAAGTAGTTTATTTTGATAAATGTGGCTGTTATGAATGCTTCACTGATTTGTGGTATTGCCTCATGTAGATGTATTAGTGAATGCGAGTGTATACATTTCAAAATATTTCAAAATGCAAATTTAAAACCGTACGAGGTTGCACTTTCTGTAAATGCATTTTACAACTTAACTCTCTGTAGCTTAGTTTTACATTGAACAATTCATGTCCAGCCCTCAAGGTACAAAATGAATGGAGGTACAATCTGATGTGTGCAAAAGACAACTGTTTCACTGAAGGGTGCTGCCCTATTGGTAAGTTCTTGCCTTTGATTTTTATTCAGAGAACCTGAGGGTAGTAGTCAGCCAGGATCAATCTACTTCACCTTCCAGTTTTATCGCTTTCCACCGGTAACGACACAGCAGCTGCATCTTGTGAAGCCGCACAACTCACAAAAGAGAACCTTGAAGTCTACACCTTTCATTCTTGTACCACTAAACAAAAATGGTACTGGTAATTTAGGTGAGTATTACAAGTTAATTATAGCAGAGAAAAGGATCTTTTCTAACAGCTGCATAATGGAGTTCATGCTTCATAAGATATTCCTCCTGTCCTTATTCCTTTAACCCCGTCTGTTCTTGTCTTCCTCATTTTTTATTCAGCTGGCCCTTAACTGCACAATGGTTTTTGCTGTGACTGCTTTTAATGATAGTAACACTCTAGCCACCACGTTAATGGGAATTAGTGCAGATGCCTTGCTAACTGAATTCCTTATTGCTTGCTTAATATACTTTGTAAATTAAATTCATTTATCTAACAGAATGTAGCTTCAGTGATTGAAGAAAGGTTATTCATCTCAATAAGGAACCAATTTGACTTTGCAATTCAATCAAAGGGTAGATTTTGGTATAAGACTGTTTTTTGTACAAGTCCCATCAAGCTGCAATACCCGAGAAGTGAAGGAAATGGGTCTTTACAGTTGGCTTAATTTAACAACACTGGTCATGTCACTATAATGTAGTGCCAAGGAAGGGTAAAAGAAAACATTGTTACAATATAACCCCTTGTAGCAGAGAATGACGAGCGCTAGAATACTCAATCCAAAGGAGCTGTGGACCTGGAGGTTGTTATAAATCTTAAGATGACAGTGGATAAATTTTGACAGGCAGGCTGTTGAAGATTATTTCAGAGAAAATGGAATAAGAAATATGTGATTTTGAGATTAGCTCAATCTTTGCTTCCAAACTTGTATAGTCCCATATCTTAGGGTGATCTCTATTTTTTCACAGCATGGAGGGAACAGAAAGGTATCAAATCAACAATCCCTATTTATTAATAAATATTAACATAATATAAACATTTGTTCTGAGATGGTCAACTTTCAAATCATAGGATCATAGTCATAGTGAGGACACAATCAGATCAACCAGCATCCTGTTGAATGGTGGAGCAGGCTTAAGGGGCTGAATGGCCTCCTCCTGCTTATAATTTGTATGTTCTCATGTATCCATGCTCTTTTAAGTAAGAGACCCTTTGAAAGTTTGCTGATCCAAGTCTCCTGAGTAATCTTAGCAGTAGAACTAATTAGAAGGTTCATGTAATGCTAACGCAAGGTTAACGTTTCTCATTCTTTAGATGCCTCTCGCCTTTGTGTGGTGAGGCCAGCCTTGAGTGCCAGCATTTCCTTATCTAGCCAGACATTTCTCACATTTGAAGATCTGCTTGGCTTTGAGTTATGTGTACTAATGCAGATGCGCAATTATCAAGCTGTAGCCCAACCTTTTACTCTATCACTCAGCCCTAACCCCTTCCTCTAACTCTATAATCACGACAGTTGTTAAGCTGCCATACTTTTTATTCCTAAAACTGTGTTCCTCAGGAATTTGGAGGATGTGGGAGGGGGAAGGATCGGATTTGGATTAGTTTAAATATATCAAATGATGATACGTATTATGCTCTGAGTTGCGGATGAATGCACAAGTTCTGTTGAAGTTGATGGTAGAGTTTTTCTTCTGTTTCAGCCCCTCACCCTCTTCCATGGAGTTAATGTTATGGGTGCTTCTTGAGCGTGGTGCATATGGTTGCTATGGAGAGGCCCGGTGGGATTCTGTCAGTTTATTTTCATGTCTTGAGCTACAAGAGTCGACAAAGCAAATGTATGCATTTTAAAAGTCTGTCCCTAGACTGGAAAAACAAATCTTAAAAAAATGGATCTTATTGTGTATTGTTTCATCTTCCGAATTTTGTAGGATCATTTGCAGAAGAAATTTTCACCAGGACCCTTCTAATGTTGTTTGCCCTGTATTTAACTGACATGTATACAACGACAACCTGACCCTCATTTATTCCCATTCGTGTGCAGATTCTCCAGGGCTGGAACTGAAATTCTTGGTGGAGCCGGGTTATATGAAAGAAGGAGAACAGCGCTGGTTTAGGCAATACCTGGCCACACAGACATTGCAGATTGATGTCTGGGATGCAGAATCCTTACTTCTGATTGGCACAGCAGCTGTGGAACTGAAGGTAAAGGTTATCAAAGCCCCTGTTCTAGATGGCGTAAAGACACTAAAATAAATGCAAGTTGTTTTGTTGATGGAACAGTTGAGTGTCAAACTATGTCAAAGTTCTTCACCAAATAAGTCCCAATTACGTTTATCCAAAAAATATTGAGATATTTTAATGAGGAGTAGGAGTTGGTCATTCCTCCCCTCGAACCTGCTCTGCCATTCAATAAGATTCTGGCTGATCTGATTGTGGCCTCTGAAATGGACAAGTTCATATTTTCCCACATTGTACTACAGCTGCCACTTAATTACCACCTCTCCTTACCAATCACTATCCACTTGGAACATTCTTCTGTCCTCTTCATGACTTAACATTTCTACCTATATGTGTGATGAACAAATTGAACAACCATACATTTGGTCCCTTCATCCAAGTCATTGACAAAGATTATAAATGCTTGAAGCCCTAGCACTGATCCCTGTAGTGCTGTATTGGTTACGTTTTTCCAAACCAAAAATAACCCATTTATGTCTACTGTCTGCTTCCTATTAGCTGACCATTCATCTGTCCGTGCAAATATGTGGCCCCTATGCTAGGGGCTCTTACATTTTGCAGCAATCTTTAATGTGGCACTTTGTCAAAGCCTTTTGGAAATCTAAGTACACCACATCAATAGGTTCCCCTTTTCCATGTTGCTTGTTACTTCCTCTAAAACCTTCAGAGTTTAAAATGTTCCATGTTACTGCTTCTGAGCATAAATTACCTGATAAATTACTTGACATACAAAGCAATAGGGTACATTTGATTGCTTCTGAACATTTCTTACTATTCAGCATATCAGTGTTAGTACCTGAAATTTAAAAACTTCGTTGAGCAGGTGAAGTGAAGGCCCGAGGCCTGAAGTAAAGAGCACTGCCAAGGTTGGAGAGAGATGGCAATGTAAATAAGAACCGGTTAATTAAGTTCTGAAAAAGGATCACTTGACCTGAAACATTAACTCTGATTTCTTTCAACAGATGCTGCCAGACCTGCTGATCACTTCCAGCAATTTCTGTTTTTGTTTCTGATCTACAGCATCTGCAGTTATTTTGGTTTTTATTGTCAATTAAGTGATGTAAAGCTATGGTTTCAACAGCTAAGGAGTAAACAAAGACAGAGAGGGTCTATAGTTGGGAAGTCTTGGAGAAAGTGAGTTAGTGGTGATTTCAAAACATGAATACATAAGGGATAGGAGGGAGTGGTTAGTCTGTGGACTGTGTCAGACACTAGGATAAACATTCTCGGCTGTCAGAATACAGGGATCAGTAGATTAATGTATAATTTTAAAATTTATTGGACAGATTTTGTCTGCAGCTGTAACAGCTTAAAGGCTCAGAATGCTGTGGGAAAACAAGGCATATTAGGAATGATAAAGACCAGAATCTGATCTTCCATTCTCTCACTTATGTCATTTCATTTTTTTTGTTTTTTATTCTTTTTGTCCTTGTTTGGCAAGGCTATACTCATAGAATCCCTTCAGTGTGGAAGCAGGCCATTCGGCCCATTGAGTACACACCGCCACTCTGAAAAGCATCACACCCAGACCCACCCGCTTACCTGTCCCTATAACCCTGTATTTCCTGTGGCCAATCCACCTAACCTGCACGTCCCTGGACACTATGAGGCAATTTAGCATGGCCAATCCACCTAACCTGCCCATCTTTAGATTGTGGGAGGAAACCGGAGCACCCGGAGAAAACCCACGCAGACACGAGAATGTGCAAACTCTGCACAGACAGTTGCCCGAGGCTGGAATCAAACCCGGGTCCCTGGCACTGTGAGACAGCGGTACTAGTCACTGAGTCACTGTGCCACCCTATTGCCTATCTGGTTTTAAGAAGACACATAATTGAATGTGATTTCCCTTCCTCATTAAAGGAGTCAATGATCACTCCTGACAGAAGGTCCAGTGCATGGGCAATGGCTGGGGTCTTGGTTTCAGAGTCCTCTGCTTGTATTTTTCCTTTGATTACTGCTTTCATTGCAGTACGACTGAGGGAAATGCTGTGTGAGCCTTCAGAGATTTTGCTTGCTGCAGATGAATCTAGCACACCTTTTAGATGAGAGCAGTAAATAGAGAGAAGTAGCTCACATTATGCCAAGAAGAATTCTGTTCTTGAAATTATTATATTTACATGTACTTTGCATTCTGAAGTATGTTTTCTGTGAAAGATGAATTTAAATCAGGCTTTTCATTATCCGTTGCCATTCTTTTTAATTATTAATGCTTATAAACTAGGTTTGAGCTCTATCATCAACTCACACTCGTATAATTCATTCCTAATTGTCAAAATATCCTTTCCGTTAAAAGCCAAATAAAACTGCTAATGTTTCACAGTTAATTGAAAGTTCCTGTTTGAGGATGCCACTGACATCTTTGCTTCCACACTAAGTGGTTTCACTGGTTTCTATTTGTCTGGCTGGAGGGCTTTTTGAGGTGAGCAGTTTTTTCGAAATTCTAAAAGTTTAGGATTGACGCTTGCTGTGAAAATAATGAGGCTGGAAGTGCTCACCATTACTAAAAGGTACAGTTAAACATGGAAATCTGGAAGTTGCTATTTGTGTTGCCCTATCCCACTGGGAACTTCTTTGTACCAGGAGAGACTCGCTACCCAAATCAAAAGCAGAGTTGAAATTGGAGCACTGAGCACTGAGGTTGTTTAGCAGTAATTAAGATTTGCCACTCCATTAAAAATCCAATAAAAGAAATTTCGGCAAGTAGTTTTTTTATAGTGAATTTAGTAATTTCCCACGAAACTCAGCGTAAAACTTAGGGCTTGCTTAAACATGTGTACGTGGTAAGTCTTAATTACTGCTAACTCACCTGTCTGGCACATTTTACCTTTACAAATATGAAGTCTCATTCCTTCCGATTTTAATTATTATGTGAGATTTTTAAAAAGTGATCTTTTTACTTTTGGTCCCTTTTCTCCTCATGTTCTCGCTCTCTCAGTCCCATCTATCTTTCCCCTTATTTCATTGGCACTGAATTAACTATTCTAACTTAATTCTTAATGAGCCAGAACGTTTATGCATTGTATTTGGTTGAAGAACCAGGCTGTAACTTTATTTGTTCACCCAGGTCTCCGATCCCTAACATGAATTTCTAATTAAAACAAGCTTTAGAAATCCTGAAAAATAGGTGTAAAAATGTAATGAGTGACTGCGCCATTTAGCTATTGACTAGCTCAAAAATGAGTCAATATATTTATTGGCCCTATCAGTTTCTTTGTATGTGATTTAATGCAACATTGAGTAGAATAAGCTAACAACATCATCATATTGTTGCAGTATTTGTTACGCCAAGGTCGTCCTGCAGTCCAAGTTTCTCATGAGCTGCCAGTCATAACCACAGAATACACGCCGGATGTACCAATGACTTTAGCTGATATCACCAAGCATGGCACTGTTAAACCATATGGAATGACAACAATAACAAAAGGAAGACTACATATGCGCCTGGGAAATGTTGGTGAGCAAATGTATACTTCTGACATCTTCATTTTCTAAGAAAATAAAGATGATTTAATAACTCAGGTCTGGAAATTGTTCCTGCAAAGATTAACATTCAGGCACTTTAAACTGCTATAATGGATTAAGAAATTTAATAAAACCTTATGAAGAGCCGGATGGTCATAGACTGGTCAGTATAAGAGCAAAGAGGCAATGTTGAAGTTGTAGAGCATTGGTTCAGCCACAGCTGGTGTGCTGTTTGCAGTTTTGATCACTTCACTACAGGAAGGATGTCAGGCCTGACAAAGCTCTGTACAACTCCAACATTACCTCTTTGCTCTTTTACTCTATGCCACAACTGATGAAAGCAAGTGTCCCAAATACCTTCTTAACTTTCCTATTCACGTGCTCTGCTGATTTCAGGGATCTGTGAATAATTATCCCAAGCTACCCAGTGTCCTGTCATTCATTAAATACTGAGATAGTAGCAACTGCCGATACTGGAAAATCTGAGATAACAAGGTGTAGAGCTGGATGAACACAGCAGGCCAAGCAGCATCAGAGGAGCAGGAAAGCTGACGTTTTGAGACCCAAAACGTCAGCTTTCCTGCTCCTCTGATTCATTAAATACTCCTTTGTCTTGTTTCTTCTTCCAAAGTGCATCACCTCACACTTATCTGTATTAAATACCATCTGTCATTGGACTGCCCTTCTGACCAACCCATCTATATCTTGCTGTAACCTACAACCATCTTCTTTGCAATTCATCCGAGCCGGGCGATTTGTCTATTTTAAAGCCTGACAGAGCCTCCAATACCTCCCCATTTCCTATGTCAAAACTGTTCAGGTTCCTCCCAGTCCCTTTTCTTGAATTCTGTACCTACGTTCTCCTTTCCAGAGTGAAGAATGAAGAGGAGTATTCATTCAACACCCTTCCAATATCCTGTGGCTTCACATACAGGTTGTCCCCGTGGTCCCTAATGGGCCCTGCTCTTTCCCTGGTTAACCTCTTCCCTTTAATGTATTTATAAAATATCTTAGGATTCTCCCTAATCCTGTTCACAAGTCCTTTGTCATGCCACCCTTTTGCTCTTATAATTATTTTCTTAAGTTCCCTCCTGAACTTCCTGCATTCCTCTAGGGCTGCAGCTGAATTGCACCCTTTGGACCTGCTAAAAGCCCTATGCTTCTTCTTAATCCAGTCCTGAATTGTCCCAGACATCCAGGGTTCTCTGAACTTATTGCTGCTACATCTCCCTCTAAAGGGTACATGTTGGACCTGTACTTTCTGAATCCTACCACTCCCCCTTCCTCCAAATACTCCGCTGTATTACCTGCAATGAGGTGTCACAGTGTACTGTGGCCATATCCTGCTTTATTCTAACAAAATATGCCTTCCCCCAATCCCAAGCTGTCTTTTGCAGGCCATCTTTTCCCTTGTCCAAAACAAATTTGAACCATGCCGTGTTGTGGTCGCTATCGCCTAAATGTTCTCCCACCGCTACATTGAACATTTGTCCAGCTTCTTTCCCTAGAACCAGATCCAGCACTGCACCATCCATTGTTAAGCCTTCTATGTATTGATACAAAAAACTCCTCTTGATACATTTCAAGAAATCCATCCACTCTAAACCTTTAACACTATGACTATCCCAATTTATGTTGGGAAAGTTCAATCCCTTAGTATAACTACCCAATCATTACTCTTACACACCCCTGTGAACTGTCTACATATTTGCTCCTGTACTCCCCACTGATGCTTTGGAGACGTATAATACATTCCCAGCAATGTAGCTGCCCCCCCAAGTCCTACCCATAAAGCCTCGTTTGAGGACCCTTCCAAGATACCATCTCTCCTTATTGCAGTAATTGACTCCTTAATTAATAATGCTACACTACCACTATTTTTACGCCCTCCTCTGTCTTGCCTATAGATCCTATACCCCAGAATGTTGAGTTGCCAGTCCAGCCCTTCCCTCAACATGTTTCTGAGATGGCAACAATATCATACTCCCATGTGTCAATCCACACATTAACTCATTAGTCTTACCTATTACACTACTAGTGTTAAAGACCATCCAGCCTTGCCTTACTCTCTTGACACTTAACATAGCTGAACTCACTCTGAGTTGCTTCCTTTGCTGGAGCATAATGTATCGCTGTTTCATTGATATCCTGTGTCCCCTCCCTCTACCCAACTAGTTTAAACACATTCCAACAGCACTAGCAAACCTACCTGAAAGGATGTTGGTACCAATGTGCAAACCATCCTGTTTGTACATGTTCCACTTTCTCCAAAAATGGTCCCAGTGATCCAGGAATCTAAAACCCTCCCCCTTGTACCACCTCTTGACCCACACATTCATCTGTCCTATTTTCCTATTTCTAAACTCACCAGCGCATGACACCAGGAGGAATCCAGAGGTTACAACCATTGAGGTCCTGCTTTTTAATCTACTGCCCAGCTCCCTGAATTCTTGGTACAAAATCTCATTCCTCACTTTACCCATATCATTGGTACCAACATGTACCACAATCTCTAACTCACCACCCTCTCCTTTAAATATAGTAGGAACTGCCGATGCTGGAGAATCTGAGATAACAAGGTGTAGAGCTGGATGAACACAGCAGGCCAAGCAGCATTCCTGCTCCTCTGATGCTGCTTAGCCTGCTGTGTTCATCCAGCTCTACACCTTGTTATCTCACCCTCTCCTTTAGGATGCCCTGCAGCCATTCAGTGACATCCCTGACTGTGGCACCAGGGAGGCAGTACACAATCCTGAGTCACATCTTCGTCTTCAGAGATGCCTGTCTGCTCCCCTGACTAAAGAACAGGAGAAGGCCATGCAATCCATTGACCCTGTCTCATTCTACACCCCCCACCCCCATGTAAATATGATCATGGCTGACTGAGCACTTAATTGCATTTAATATTTTAAAATATTTTATTAGCAGGTCCTGAGGGTCTTGTTAAAGCAAATGGAGACAACAGCTTTCTTTTTCATTATTTAGCTGGAAGGAATGAAGGCTAACCATTCATGTTAAAAATAATGACTGCTAAAAGGTTCAGTGTGGCTGACGAAAACAGAGAAAATGACTACTTTCTGCCAAGGGTGTGCATCTAATAAGAATTGCAGCCTCCAACTCTTCCCCCCTTATTATCTAATTGACCTGCCCTCCTGCTCTACTGGTTCCACTAATTCAACAGATTCTGCTGTCCTCAGGCGTGCAAGCTTTACAGTGATTTGCTCAGTGTATACATGATTTGGATGGATTAGAGTGACTTACAGTATTAATTTCCCGGTGTGCTGACTGTGCGAGAGCTTTGTACTGGACAAATTCTGTCCTTGGAAGAAGAACATATGGTGCAAATTCAAACATTCAATCAACATGCATTGAAGGTGAACAGTGATTTATTTCTGCACGTTCAATTGCTAATTGCACTGAGGCAAATACAATAGTAACTTATTTACACAGCATTTGTCAAGTTGAAGTGAACAATGAATAGGAAGGATAGAAAGAAAGGAGGCGAGACTGAAGACCACAGGGTTTAGCAATCTTTTACTGGAGGAAGAGAGAACATTTTGTCCCAGGAGTGGATAGATTTGCCAGACTGAAAGAGAGACTGATAGGATTAAGAAATGAGGACTAAATGCATATATCAGGTTTATATTCCCCAAGAATCGAAGATTAGGGGGTGGTATAACTGAAGGGTTTAAGATGATTAAAGAATGTGATACAGAGAATAGAAACTATTTTCTCTGGTGGAAGCATCCAGCTTAAGAGGGCATAATGTTAAATTAGAGTTAGTTTGTTCAGCAGTGATGTCAGGAAGTGTTGTGGAAATATGGAACACTGCCACATAACACTGTGAAAATTTCAATAGTTGATAGGGTTTGCCAGAGGAATACTGTTTTTGAAAAATACTTCTCAAGATTGCAAAGATGAAGAGTGGTGCAAAGAGGCAGTGATGCAGAAGTGGAAGAGTTAGTCTTACTGGTGGCCCACGTGAAGTCTGAAGCTCACCTCAGCATGAAGAAGAAAGCTGAGCATGCATTCGGGTTCTGACGAAGAGTTGTTCAACCTGAAATGTTAATTCTGACTTATCTCCCCAAATGCTGCCAGACCTGCTGAGCTTTTCCAGCAATTTCTGTTTTTGTTTTTGATTTACAACATCTGCAGTTTTTTTCGTTTTTTTTATCATCAGGCTCAGCGGGATAGTTAACGAGCAGAGAGCTTCATGAACATTGAACTGCAGGAGATTTTAATGTCAGATGTGGTTAAGTTGTTGTTCCAATCCCTGTAGATACCAATAATTTTAAAAATAGAAATCTGAACTTTTGGTTAACAGCTGAAAGGATGACTTGATTGGATTTAATGTTTTTAAAGACTTTCCTGTAACAAACTAACTGAAAGCACCACTGACAGTAAGTATTATAGTAGGCAACTTTTTAATTTAGCACAATGAAGAAGGACGAGGGCATAAAATGCAAGGGAATATCATCACTTGCAAGTTCCCCTCCAAGCTGCCCACGATCATGACCTGGAATAATATCACTGTTATTTCACTGTTGCTGGGTCAAAGTCCTGGAACTCCCTTCCTGATAGCACTGTGAGTGTACCCAAATGTCCATGTACTGCAGTAGTTCAATAAGGCAGCACATTACCACTTTCTCAAGAGCAACTAAGAATGGGCAATAAATGCTAGCCTGGCCAGTAACATCCATTTCCCATAAATGAATGTAAAATAAAACACCTCACAGGTGTACTTTACCCTGTTCTGAAATAAAATCAAATCAAAGACAGAAACAGAAATTGCTGGAAAAGCTCAGCAGGCCTGGCAGCATCTGTGGAGAGAAATCAGAGTCACCATTTCAGGTTGAGTGACCCTTCCTCAGAACTATCAAATCAAATCAAGTAGTCATTTGATTTTGCTGGAATCCAGTCTAAAGTGATTCTTAGCTCTGGAGAAATTACTTTTGTACCTCACCTTTCCCAGTGTAGTTACTTTTAACCCTA